CATCTTTAAAATTCCTGCCACACACAGGCCGGGATCACCGAGGGTGTCAGGTTTAGTCTTGTGATTAAAGGCCAAAAAGCTGTTACAAGCTCATAACGCAATAAAGCAGCAACCTACAAAACAGCCCTCTTCTTTTCACCCTTTTCTTTGCTAACATGAAGTTTTGGATCAGTCACATCCTTTGCTACTTCAGCAGCAGCAGGAGATAACCACCGACTTTAGCCTTGTCTGTACCTCGTTTCCTTCATACTCGTTTTTAATTTTGAAAAAGCTTCCTTGGTTATAACCATCAACGATCGAGCTCCTGCCAGAAGCCAACAATGAGGAGCTTGGCCTGAGCTCTCTCTGCAGTGCGCTCGCACAAAAAACTGTGTGCCAGGTGGTGTAAAGTAGACCTGCTGCATGAAAGACACTCTGCGGACCCTTATTTGGTGTGAGATTAATCTGGGCATAGTGAGAGCTGACATACAGACTTAAAACGGGTATCACATGCCAAAAGAAACTCAGCATAAAGTGAAGCATGACATTTTTCTCTCTGTGAATTTTCATCTCGAGCCTCATGAACCCTTTATGTCATCGGGCCTCAGGGTTGAAGCTCTGGTAAGCCAGTGCATTAAATACTGACGAGTACCCAGCCAGTCCTGTGTTTTTTATAGAATCAGGTGTAGTGATGCGTCAGTGCTGTACAGCTGAAAAGTCTTGTGTATTCTGGGGAATTATCTGAAGTGGAAAGAAACAAAAAGAGGGTCACATATTCTGTCATATCTTTACATGGATTAATCAGCTAAGCTTAACACTAAGAAAATGAATTTATTACAGGTTTTCTAAATAACTCACTTTGCTTTTGCAGCCCCATCTAAGTTGCATGGCTGTGGGAGAATATGGGATGTGAGAGTTAGCACTCACACTTTTAATGAATTCCTGGATTTTATGGACTTGCATACAGAGCTCAGAGGCTCACTCATCCAACCACAGCCAAAAGCAGACAGGATATTGACAATAACACAGTTAGGCTTTTACTCAAGTGCTCCAAAGACCGACTTTATGACACACTGCCTGTTCTTAAATCAGAGAAAAACAACGAGTGTCAATAGAAGTGCAAATGAGATGAGTCTTTACAAGAGTCTGCGGGAAAAAATATATTTTTACTGCACAGTACTTCAAAATTTAGCTGAAGCCTTAGAATCAGTGTGCCATAACACAAAAGATTAGTTTTTGTATGTGTGACATCTTGGAGTTCATTTCCCAAAACTTTAAAAAAGAAAATGTTAAAGATGTGAAAGTGCTTCAACGTATTAGCCTGCAACAGACTCTCCAGGATGTACACTGCTTCTTGTCCTATGATGCTGGGCGAGGTTTCAGCATCTCCCATGACTCTAAACTGGAAAAATGGAGGAAAAATAGATAGATGGATCTATTACAAGAAATTCCCTAACAGAAATCTCTCCATCATTGTAAGCGAAAATCATTTTAGTGCACAGGCAAATAAAGAAAAACAAAAAATCCTGTAAATACAAAACAAAGCTTTTGGCAGATTACACCAGCACTTGCGTCGTGTGGCTACGCTGTGCGATTTGCTCAGATGACAACCATACATGCGTGTCTGTGGAGGTGTGGGGAGCAGACTGTTGCCAAATATAAAAAGCCATACAGCCAAGATTCCTTCGGAAACAGAAATAAACCCTCATAACGGTTCTGCTTCGCATCTCTCACACACACAGCACTGCATCACACTAATTATCTTATTTCCAGCATACAAGTGAGCAGTTTCCCTTGGCATATTTTACGATGGTAACACCCATACCACTCAGAGCAAATCTGATTAACACATATCACTTAACAATTACAAAGGAAAGTGGGAGAATTTTGGGGGGAATTTACACCTGGCTATTGCTTTAGGAAAGAATTTGTCTTTATGGGGCAATTATCACCTAAAGGGAGCTGGCAGAGGTAAGAGACTAATAATGATAACCGTTAAGAGTGTTTACTTTCCAACATCTCCAGGGCATTTACTGCCCAAACCAGGGCTTGTCTACAATACAGGGCTCTACTTTATTTATGGACAGTTGTAAATGCTAATAATAAAATATGACTTCAAACTTTTAAAAGTCGCAAAAAAAAAGTAAAGAAAAATGCAATGACCACTGCGACAAGAGAGGAAGCACCAAGACACTTTTCTACCAGTGTAATGAAATCTTATGTCTTTACTCTGTGCAAAGACATAAGATTTCATTACACTTTCATTCATTACTTTATTCGAGTTATTTGTACTCCTACCCCCCACCTCCCGCCGAATAAACCATAAAAGAAAAAAAAAAAATTTCCACACTGCTTAGTCATTTTACTCCACAAGCCCCTGGACGACTAGCTGAACTTACAAGCTATTACAAATTGCATTTGCCTTTCGAAGAGGGCCAAATATAAGCAATTAAGCACAAAACAAGCACGGTTACTTGCAGCACTATAGGTTACAGGAGATATTTGCACTTGCAGAGTCCATATGGGACCTATTAGCGCACTGTTCTCTAAGTTGCCAGACAAGGCTTAACCTGTGAAGATTGCGGTGTGGCGGCAGGATGGAGTGTCTAATCCCTTGTTGCGCACAGCTACAAACTAGTGGTTAAATGTGGATGTGAAGGTCATTGGAAAGGAGAAATAAAAGGCACAGGCTAAATTGATCGACTTAACTCTTCCAGATTTATTAAAACTCTGTTACTCTGTGCTGGTTGCGGTCAAGCCTCAGCTTTTCGGTTCTAAATCCTTCTGTGCGTTGTGTCAAAGAAAACACTTGTAAAATGCTGGGAATTAGTGTGACTGGCATGTTAAGGTCCAAATGTCTACAGTTTCAGGATGGAGGCTATTGTATTTGGCTAAATCCGTCAGAGCTCCGACTACTTTAGTCCTTCAGTTTCTAAAGGTCTGCTCCCAGTTAGTCTGGAGCCTCTCTGCATCTGCTCCACACACGGAGCACTGCACTGGCTCCTTTCGTTCTTAAAAAAAAGCAGTAAAAAGCCTTGTCTAACACTTAGATTGGGCAATTATATTTTTTAAAAAAAGGTATTGGCTTTTCAGAGAGGTAATTATACAAAGGTACCGGCGTCTTAGCTGAACGCTTTATTAACAGCATGTGCCTTTGACTGAGTCTGGTGTGCGCCACGTAAGGCCACTATAGATTTCTTCCCTGAAGCGTCTGAGGTTTATCACGCCACTTTGCTATTCAACAAACCTTTGTGTACCTACTGTAACCCAGAAATATTTAGATCCATTATCAAACCCATCTAAATCTCCTGCGGCTGTTACGTCGCTCGATATTCTTTTCGTGTATGCCTTTCAAACTGCACACAAGAGCTGTGAAAGGCAAGCAAAGTGATGCAGGGAGAGTTTTAATTGGGGCTGTTTAGCGCTATCAGCTGTTGTGTAAGCTGAAATCCCCACATGAAGATGGATCACTTTAACTCGGGCCTTGTTCTGTTAACGAGGGGCTCGAGGTGGTTTTGAGACAATAGCAGTCGAGGAGGAGAGAGCGACGAGGTAATTGATGGTTGTAAAGCGATCTTAATTGTTTGGTGATGGATGTAGGGAGGACACTTACAGAGCCTGACATCTGAGATAAGGTGTCGCATTCCTGGAGTCGTCCCGCCACCGTGTCCAACCCGGGCAAAGGAGCTGCTCCAGACGATACGCACAAACGAGGGAAAAAGGAAGGATAAAGCAGAATGAAACGGCATAAAGATTTTATATATTAAGTATGAACTGCAACTTACAAGATATATCAGGTACAGCTTGTTCAGATATGTGTGGCCTATGCTCCTCTTCTGATCTGCTGTCTGATAGTGTGTCTCCCTGCAACCTGGAAAACAACACACAACATAAACTTGCACTGCAGCGCATGTTTGGACATTGAAAGTCAGATAACAAAAAAACAAGCCAGCCTCAATCAGTCTGAGGTGATGATACAATGAGGAAATGTTTAGCGAAACGTTCGGCGAAATCTGGATCGGCACGGAGGTCGGTTTCAAGTCACAAACTTTTTTGTTTTTGCTGAAATTAAATATGAATAATAATGAAGAAACGACAGTAATGCACGAATAGACGATGTGTACACAGGCAGCAGCACCTCCACTATCCCTATGCTTATAAAAACATAAAACTGAAGATGAAGAAGAGAAAATAAAAACCCGCACGCAGCTACTATTTTTCCCTGACATCATTCAGTTACTGTTTTTTATCAGAATGTGTTCCAAGCCCCTATTGCTTTTTTTTAAAGATAACACCGTGGACTGAAAGGGAAGTGGGTCTGACAGATTTGGCTGTCTTAAGGTAGCAAAAGATTTGGGCTGCCCAGAGATAGTGAAGTAAACTGCAAATGAAAGACAAACAGCCTTTTCTCGTTTCACCTTTCAGCAAGAAGAGAAAAATGCTATTTAAATGCATTTATGCTCTTCTAAAATGCTCTATACACTCACTATAGCTGTAACTATAAATCACATCATATGTCAAATTTGTGCACGCACCACGTTGGCATCAAATTCTTTATACCTCATGCTGTTTCCATGTCATGAGAGCAACCATTAGCTGAAGAGAAAGGAAAGCAATCCCTATGCCTTTATGGCACAGCTGCATTCCCAGCTGCAGGGCCTCCTTGTTTCTACCTCTACATCGAGACTAAAGGCACAGCGCAACTTCTTAAAGTGTATTCTATTTCTTTCCTTCTTTAGACATCCCTCTCCTTGTCTCCCCCCTCTTTAATGGTCTTTATAAGACCATTAAAAGTACCCAAGATGACTATCAAAAGGCCTTCCCATTCTCTGAACAAAAGCTACTCATAGCCGCAAGTCTTGACTACAATTCCCCTAGTGCATTCCTGATATGAAAGCAATTAATTTAATGAGAACGACAAGTCCAAAAGAAGTTTGTGGAAATCTATCCATTTCCTTAAAACCGCACTGCCAGCTACTTCAGAGCAGGCCTAAGATCTGGGATGCGTTTGCACACAGGAGATTTTGTGGCGGGAGTACATGCTCTTTAAATGAACTGATCAGGCCAATAAGGGAGGTGCATGAAATGTTGGTGTGACCACAGTTATAGCCCAAAAGGCAGAAACGTGGCCACAACACACAGGCCACACAGCATTTTGCACTTCAACCAACCAGCAGAGAGCCACTGGAAGCTGAATGTTTTCAGACCTGCCACTGCTGGTTAAGAGGCACACTGGCTGACTGGAGCATTTGGTGGTGTGGCCAGTGTCTGGACAGAAGGGACGGAAAAGGACGTTGGCAAGGGAAGGTGTCTTAGAAGTCAGGGATCGGTTTCAATACGGGGTCAGTGAGTTCAAAGAGAAAAGCGATCCTGCAATGCAAAGTTGACATTTTGTTCTTATTATGGTGCCCAAATGGGAACGGAGTTATCGCCTTCACACTGTGGGTGTGAAATTAGGTGTCACTATTTCCTGGTTTGGGGTAGTGCATGGTAGAGCCAAGTGGTTCGGTCTCATTTGCGCAGACTGATAGACCTCACTGACCTGTAAAAAAAACACAAGGGAAGCTGGATTCGAATGTGTCTGACTGAGGGATGACGGGTATGTGAGGAATGCTTATCCAGCTTGGGCCAGTGTTCACAGTTCCCTGCTGAGCCAAGCAAGCCTCTGGTATCTTTGTGTGAGTTATAAAATATTGCAAAGATTCCCCTCAGTCATGTCAATATTAAAATGAACTAACATGAGCAGTACTGCAAGGTCACATCTCTCAATAAGTCTCACTGATGCTGAAGGACAGATGCATTACCACACGTGTTAGTTTTCTGAAGAACAATTTTAAAGCTTCAGCGAATCTCATCAAGGTAAAAGTAGACAGTTTGAAACCTGTGTCCAGGCTGCCTTATGTGTGCATCCATGAATACCTGAGTCTGTGCACGTATGAACTTCTGCACAACCCTAATTTGAGAAATCTGTCTTCTCAAAACAGCACAAAGGGCAAGCCATGCGTGCAGCACTTTTCCAGCTTACTGATCTGTTTATGGCCCTTAGACTACCCAAAAATGACTTTGAAAGACCACAGCTCCTTTGCCAATAAAACTTGGGAAAGATTCGGTGGTCAGGTTAAAGAGGACAAAACAAGAATTTGGCCTCAGCCGAAAGGATAAAGGAAGACAGAGAAAGGGAACAGATGTTTGACATTTCAGTAACAAAAAAAAAAACCCTTCAAGAGAGCCAAAAATGACTCCAGATACAGATGCTGCTTTGCTTTGCCACTAATTCCACCATGGGACAAAAGGTATAAACAACTAGCTTAAAAACATCAAGTCGATAAACTGCCAACAAAAATCCAGCGATAGCCTTCATCCTCCTGCACAAACCTTTGACAACAACCCGCAGCCTGCGTGTGGAACGAAACTGATAAGCTGCATGAATGAAAGAAGAGTTTGAAACAAACAAATTCCAGACCCCAACCAGTGGAGGCTGTGCAGGCAGATTTGTGCCTGGCGTCTCATCAAGAAGATACCGTTTATCATTGACTGGCATCAAGGAAGAGTTTTGCCCACACCTGCCTACGGTATCACACCCAAAACTCAGAAATCTGAGCACCAGACTGACGATGTGAATCTGAGGGAAACAGGAAATGTGTCTGAGGAGAAAAACTGTGATAACAAGAGAGAGGGTGATAATGGAGACAATTATCCTCGCTAGAGCTGATTTGTGAAAACAAGCAACACTGGAATGGACTTCAGATATGATATTATTCTCTGCTACCTCTGATACAAATGCAGAGACAGGAAATGGAGGGTAAGAAAAGGATAAGAAAGAAGTGTTGGATGTTTGAAAGAAAAAAATGGATGCAGCAGGCGCTACGGTATAGTTTTGACAAATGAACTGTAGAGGAAAATTTACAGAAATTGTTTAGCATTTCAGTCGGGAGATGAATTTGTTTCAGTTCTTGCTGAGACTTTGATGAGGAGATTATCTAGTGGAAAAAACAGTAACTGTGACTTTGCGTGGGGTTAAGAGCTGAGCAATTTCCTGGATTTGGGCAATAATTTAACATAATCCTGGAAAAACAGCTATTTGTCACCTATTTACTGCCTCCAGTCTTTAAGCTAAGATAAGCAGTTATCGCAACAGCATTAATCTATTTACCTAACTACTAGAAAGAACAAGTCTTCTCAACTGGTTATACTTTCTTAAGGAAAGCTGTTTTATATTATTACAAAACTCAAAAAATGTTGTAAATAACACTAGAGACAGACGAGGAGTGGAGAGAGAGTGGATCCAAAGGCAGACTCTGGAGATGGACAGGAACTAAAAGCGAGCCTTTATTTACGGCTCTATGAAAGGCAAACAAAAAGCAAAAGGGAGACAAAGACTAAACCAACAAACACCTAAACTGGGAAAACAACTAAACACTAAGTACATGGCACGTGAAGACCGGAAACCTGAGACATGAAAAACCTGAGACTTGTAAACATGGGGGAAGATGAGCAGGGTGGCTGAACAAACAATTCAACAACAGGCAGAGGAAGACAGAGGACTAAATACACAGTGGATAACGAGACGGTGGGAAACAGGAAGGAAACACAGCTGGAACTAATCAGACGCAAAGACACGCAAAACTGAACACGCTGAACCCTGGACAAGGGACTATCAAAATAAAACAAGAAACATGAAACATACACTAAGACACGGACTAGACAGTGGAACCAGGGAAGACAGACATGGGAACATGACTGACTGGGGAGACAGAAACAGAGCACACAAAACAGACACAGGAGAAACATAAAGACAAGGATGTTCAGGTGTGAGACACAGTAACAAAACCCTAAAAACTAGAATGTATAAATATAACCAAAGCAGAAAATAACTAAGAGAACTAGAAATACAAATGGAAAAGCAAGGAAACTGAACCATGAATAACACTAAATCAAAGAATATTAATTAACCAGCAACACAAACACAGACCCAGGACCATGTCGTACCAATACCAATGCCGCACCTTATGTACGGGAGAGCAGTGTGTCATGATTTATGAGATGAAGTTTTTTTCCATAGTTCATGTTTGAGGTATATTTCTTTCATCCAAGGCAATTATTTTACACATTCAGCAGGCTATGTACTGAACTTAGAGGATAGAAACAAAGTATCAATCCTATCATTTATCATTAGTCATAAATAATCTATCATTGTAAAATTCATCAGCCTATTCTTTTTCTAAGAAAAGAAGAAAATTTCCAAAAACACATGACTTCATGCAGAGGTGTATACTACTCCTTTCACCAACCCCTACAGTCTGGCTTATTTGGTTCTATTAAATGAAGTTGCAAGCAGAAAAAAATGAAATGTCTGTTTTTCAAACTAACTATTCTGATGTATTATAATGATTGTGTTGTTCTTTTGCTCAGTTGTGCCCTTGAGCCTCGCTTTTTCTTTCAGTTCTAAGGAGAACCAGTTTGATTTGGTCTTGTAATAGAGTAGTACACATCGTAGCTTAAAATCTTTACTTGTCTGACAGCTCCCACAGGGAACACCGTTCATCCCTGCTACCAGAAAAAAAAGTTTTATGGAGCGGCATTTTGAGACTGTAATGGAATCTACAAACGATCCAGACACTTGACTAGCTCCATGCTGACATGCGAAACAAATGCAAACGGAGAACGATGAAGACGATTAAATGCTTTTAAAAACATATTCATGTTATTAACCACTGCATGTGTGAAGATGTTTGTGAAAGGTTTGTTGAGAAGACAGAGTACATACAGACATATATACACACATATTAGTACTAATGTTTTATAGAGGTAAAAACACGGACGTTTCAAACTTTGGGGCAGAACTGTGCGTATATTCTCCGTCCACTGTGCCAGAAAAGAGAAGGTAGAAACATTTACCTGGCACACCTAGAGCAGATGTTGAGTGTAACTTTGGCCTGTGGTTCAGGCTGATAGGAGCTGCGTCCTTGGCTGAACTTACTGCCGGATAGAACCAGCCCTGTCACACCCTCCATCCGCAGGTCATCCAGGTCCTCTGGGAGCAGAGAGGGAGTAACACAGAGAGACAGCGACAGGGAAAGGAAAGCAAAGAAAATGGAGTGAAAACAAGAGACAGAAAGGACAGTTATTAATCATACTTTGGTATCTCCCTCCACTGACGATCCCCTGTGATGACAGTCTGCTAAGAGCCAAACGAGCAAGCAAGCACATCACAGTAAATAGACACTCGGCTTAGCCCTGCTGCTGTGCTGCTTCACACACACTCCATAGGCATGGATCCACAAAAAAGTGCAGAATCATAAAGTTCACATGAATAACACTTTGTTATGAGGAATGATTTTAACAAGGTGATGACAGGACCGCATTATTCCTGCACAGAAACAGGAAGGTTAACAAGGTGAACTGGACAAAGAACAATATGGAGAAAAAACGAGTGGTAAGATGGAAGGAAAGGGTGACGGAGAGGTGGAAAACTGGGTTTTGTCTGATCTCTTACTGTGTCCTGAAGAGCAAACAGTTGCAGAGCACACACACACATAGACTCTCTCCCCTCTGTCTCTAAAGAAGTATATAAGACACAGAGCACACTACAAATGTCTTTAATAGACAGAGGACAAACACCACAGAGGAATAAATCACACCAGTAACATGATTTATGAAAAAAAAACAGTGGTGATGTTGAATAGTTACAGACTTTAAACTGTCCATTAATACAATTCTAGTATCAAAGGGAAGAGTCTGAATCAGCCAGTCCATTTTGGTTTTGAGTGCATCCCCAAGAGATAAAACATACTGCAGTATTTTCCGTGTCACGGTCCTTTCCGTGAGAACGAATAGCGTGCGGGTGTTTTGGCGTCTTCCTCTCTGAAATGTGCTGTTCAAGTTTTTTAAATGTTTAAATCAACATTTTGAACAGTCACCATAACAATATTTCTCCTATTTTTCTCAGACCAGATGAATATCTGAGCTTTGCCAATTGGGGTGAGGGGGCGGAGGTCACCTTCAGGCCAGACAGTGTACTCGAGCTTCTCGCTGCCATTGTTTCTGCTCGTATACACGTAGCACAGTACGTGCCTGACTGTCTGCGTATCTGTGTGTCTAGTTACTTGAAACCAACAGTGATACTTTTCATTTTGCGATTACATTACCTGGCCCCTGGTTTAGGGGGGGAGAAATAATGGGCCTCACACCTTGAAAGAGGAGAATGCATGACTAATCACCTGGATTAGATTGGATGACACTTGCTCATGAGAACTCTCTCGCTCCATCCATCAGCGTGACACAAAGCCAGAAAATCTCATCTGTCTCTTCTCCCCTTTGTGTGAAATCATTGCAACAAGACGGCTAAAAGTCTTCCTTCGGTCGTATTTGTTATCCACCTATCCTGACCTGCTACGTAAAAGAAAGTCAGGACAGATGGCAGTTAATAGATTTTTTGTGTTATAAGTCACAAACAACTACCGCTAGCTACATTTTAAAAAGGAATGAAAAGTATTCAGAGCATCACCTTTCACAAAACAATTCCTAGAAACATTCCCACTGTCAACTACATGCCTGATCTGCAATTCTGCAGCTTTTTTTTTTCCAACTTTAATTGTAGTTATGCACTGGGGTTGCTGTCTGTGACATCCTGTAGTCAGAAAGCCTTGTTATGAAGGATGCCCCTCAAGAAATATTACATGCACAGTTTGTTGGCCTTTCAAGTGATGGAGCAGTAGTACTAAGGGGCCCATTAAAGAGGAATAGTCATACTCCTGGGAGAAAAGATCAAACTTAACCTGACTGTCATTCACTGTATCATTTTAGTTACTTACAGTTAGTCCAAATGCTGTAAAATGTATTCAGAGTAGAGTCATTTGCACGTATTTTGCAGATCTTTTTAAACTGTTGAATTTTGACACCATTTCAAATTAAATATTGAAATACTGGCTAAATAACACTAAAATAAAGAGGGATTGAATTCTGGCATGTTAAGCCATTTGTATTCCTGCATTTGTCTGCGAGTGACTAAAAGGGAAAAGGTGATACTGTGAATATTCATTTCAATTTTTAAACCTGTTTTGTTGTTTTGAATTGCACTCTGATATTAGCCAACAATGCATGTATTAGCGTGCCACAGCACTACATTGTTACAGCCTCAGTGGCCATAGTTAGTCCTGTTAAGAGCTGGTTAAAACAAAGCATTTCTTTAGCACACAAAAATACATATTTATATCCACAGAAACGCTACTGAAATCACACAGATCAACTGCCTCCACCTCACCCTATCCCTCTGCATCTCCTCCTTCATTACATCCATGAGTTTCCTTTGAGATTTTCCTCTTCTCCTGTCTGGCAGCTCCACATTTAGCATCCTTTGTCCACTTCGTCCACTATCCCTCCTCTGCACATGCCAGCTTTGACTGTCTAACTGTATAACCAGTAGCCTTTATGAGCTCTCTTCTCTTTTATTGGTTTGTTTATTCCCACTTGTTTGCCGTCATAAAAAGTAAATGTTTTCATGGTTTCAGAAATATGTAAAATACACAACCACATTCTCTTAAGAAGCAGAACTTATGTGTTGGTCGTGGCACAGAATGTGTTGAAAATATGTCCCAGCATCAAAGAAACAAAGCAATTTTAAAGTTACCTTGTCAGTAAAACCCTTGTCTAAAATTATGTTAAAATCTTTTGCAAAGTTTTTTGGTTTTCTTCTACATTTGATAATATGTTGCTCAATTCCACACTGCCAGAGAAAAAGGGCTGTTTTAGTGTTTAGTGAAGGACAGATAGGATACACTCCAGCGATACCCTTAAGCAGCGCAATATTAAATGTCCCATTCATCATGGAATGCATTGGAGGGGTGGGGACAAAGAGAGCCACCAGCAATTTGAGCAATTTTCTGGTCGTGGGAACTGCTCCGTTTTGGGTCTTCACTCTTTTCCTATTTTCTCTTCATCCATTCACACTTCCATCCGTTCTTTCGGCAACTGACTAACATGGCATGCCGGATTTTCTTTGGGTCACAGCCTGTGGTACAAATCATTAGCTGACACTTGGAAATATTCACTTGTGAGACTGCAGCTTTCATGAAACACTAAAAGAATAACAGGGACCAGTTCTGACCCTGAAAAATGAACATGACTTCGGTATGCACAGCTGCTTGTCACTTCAACTCCCATTTTGTCTTTTCAACTTGTTTCCTTCTGGTCAAGATAACATGACACAGTGAGGAAGAGAGACCTCTGCCTGAAGAAAGAGGAGTTTATCTCAGGCACTTAGTGGTTACTGAGATAAACGAAATTTTTGTCTGCATCTTACACACAAAAAAAACTGATTAAACTGCGGCTAAATGAAATGCAAGAGAAGCTCAAACATTCTGAAATGAGTCACCAAACCTGAACTTGACCTGACCTGCCAAAAGCACAGGAAACTAGCATATGCAGACAATATCAAGAACTGCAAATGGAAAGTAAAGAGTTTTTTTTTAATTGCGTTTATGAGCATGTGCGTGCATGAAAGTGAAGCAGCAAAAATTGCTGACCTACTACAAAACTGAATCAGCGTGAAGACCTGCCGCTAGCTGCCCCGACTGTAGCTGTTCTATGGGTGCGCATTTTGGTGTCCTTATTAGCTCTCAGAAATAAACTGCATAAATGACAAAGATGGCTTTTAGAAAACAAACAGTTCTTTCGTGACTTAAAGTTTTGTCTTGCCAGGAACAGGCTTTGAAGGAGGGTGTTTCCCTTCATCTGTGCAACAGCAGTCTGAACTGCATCCATGTCGGCCCTCACGCTGAATCCAACTTTTCGTGGAGAGAAGTGACAGATTTCTGTGTTGACACCATCCTATCTCTGAGGAAGGCCTGTGCATGGAGTGCTAAAATGATGAATTTGTATCCCGTGGGATAAGGTTTGGGTGTTAACATTATATATGAGTCCTTTTATAAGCTGGGCTTGAGGTCTGAAGATGACAGCAGAAACTGTTTATTAGTCAGGAAAATTTGATTTTTGTCATCCCGCACGCAAACTCATAGAGTATGACACCAATTAATATTTAATTTGCAAAAGGACTTTTTGTGTTGGGACAAAAAAAAAATAGCACGTCTGGAAACAATATATATGAAAACATTTAAAGTTGTATTTAACGGTAACAGCTGTTCTACACACAAATAAAAAAAAGTGTTACATATGCCACCTATACTGTTAACACAGAAATTCAAGTGACACTGAATGAATTATCATCAAACCAACAAAAGTGCCAAAAACTGCAGTTCCTCTAATGGCCACATGAGGCTGTAACATTTTTACAGCCAGAATAGAAAATTTACTTTAGCGTCTATAAATTATTTAATTGTTTACAATACGACACTCATACAATGGGTGACTTTTTAAAAGACGCATCCATCCATCTATCTTCTAAAGCAATTATGCAAAGAAGCTGGATCCTTTCCCAGCTGTCTTAGGATGAGAGGAGGGGTACACTCTGGACAGGCTGCCAGTCTATTGTATTCGCTCTCACACTCACATCTGTGGTCGGCATGAAGCTGGACACTCTGGTGACAGTGGCAGAGAAAAGGACACTAAAGAAACTGATGGACATTATGGACAATGCCAGGCATCCTCTGCACACGGCCATTAACAACCAGAAGAGTCTGTTCAGTGACAGGTTGCTTCTCCCCAAGACAAGAACTAACAGACTTAAAAACTCCTTTGTCCCACACGCCATCAGACTGTTTAACTCCTCTCTGGAGGGGAGAGGGAGGGGAAACAGGAGGACAAAGGAGGGGGGAACAACTAAGCTGTAGTGCCTCTTCACCTCACTGTACAATACTTGTGCAATACTTTTGTAAATAGTCAACAGTGCAATAGACTCAATACTTGAAATGTGCAATTCACTTGTATTTTTATTTTTTATTCCTATTTATTCTATTTATCCCCTTCGTATATTTTATTTATATTTGTCTCTGTATTTATATATGTGTGTGTGTGTGTGTGTGTGTGTGTGTGTGTGTGTGTGTGTGTGTGTGTGTATATATATATTAACAATTCTGT